CTCCTGAGATATCAAAGCTAGAGAACGTTCAAGACTTATCTTCCATCCACTGGTTTCTCCATCTCATCATGCTGTCCACCCAACATTTGTTCTTGGCACAGAACTCTCTGGCTTTTTCATTATCATCTTTTGTTGTACTATTAGTCCTAAAATTTCCTCTATTAGCAAGCTTCTAAACCAAAGCAACACTCTCAGCTGGTTACATGTCCATTATAGTGTCTAAGAGAAACTTAGACAAGGCTATTTGAAAATCCAAGAACAGGCTTAATGGAGTGGATGGGCTTGGGGGAGCCTAGGGGGGTTTGTGGTTTTTTTTTCACTAAATAAAAATAGTTGCTATGATCTTCCAGCCAGTTTGTTTTAGGGTATCTGACACAGTACCTCAGCTGTTTTCTTACACTCCTTTAAAACTCCAAGATGAATGCCACATAAAAAGGGATTTGGTTCACTTTGCAGTTTACTCGATAATCTAACAGTTTACAGGATTTCCATCCCTGACTTTCTGCAAGACTCATAACACAGCAAATCTCTGATGATTGCCCTTTTAGCTACACTGCAGGTAACAATTTTTTTGTCTATTCAACCATCATGCTCTTTTTTTCAAAACATGCAGAAGCAGGTAAGAAACAATACAGAACAACAAACATAATACAAATCAGATAATTAAGCAAAAGCTCTCAGGATGTCACTGAAGGCTCATAAAAAGCCAATTGATCGTGATGAGATCTTACTTTGCTCGAAGCATCTTGCTTGCTTTTTTGAGAGGTTATGGTTAACTAGGGAGTTTCCTCTTCCCCTGCCACAAGAGAGGTCTTAGAGCATTTGAACCATTAGGCCCAGAAGTCTGAATACAGAAGCAGCACAAGAGGCATGGAGAAAAAAGAAACAAATAAACAGTTTGAAAATGTGGGCTGGAGTTGACAAAAAGAGCAGTGAAGAATTAGGTTACAGTTACTTATTATCTGAGAAAGTGAGAGGAAATAAGCAAAGAGGATGGATACACAAAATAGAAAAACGATATTATTTTTTTTAAAAGACATATAAACCAACTAAATTTTAGTCATTACTGCATAGCACCTACAAACTCCCTGGAATCATGAAGACTTTTTTTTCCTGAAGGGATTTTATCTCTAAAAAAACCCCAACACTCACAAACTAACGTTTCCTATTTTCCTCCTGACCAGTTGATACTATAGGTATTGAATTTTCTCAGCATATAATCTGCTGCTGTCTTGTGACAAGTGTGCCAAAATCGTAACAGTAAAACACACAAGTGCATCAAGTAGGGAGGAACAAGGAACTGGGAAGGCCTGTGCAGCCATAAGAGAGCAGATCTGCTGGAAGGGCAAGGAATAGGACCTGCTGTCCATCAGGTGCTTGCTCCATGTGCTCCTCCTCCTAGTTCAAGAAGTGGCTGCTCACATTTATCCATATGTAGATGCTGCAAGTTGCCACAAGTTAACAGCAGAGATGAGGGTAGCTGCTGCAGAATAAGCAAAGATGCTATCGGTATGATACCTGTTCAGCTGCTCAACCCCAAGCAGCAATCTTGCACACATACAGTCTGAAAGGTTTGACCAGTCTCAGCCTTAAGCTTCCTGTAGCCATGCTGCAAGCACACTCACTTTTGAAGAGGAGATGGAAGTACATGAAGATCAAGGTTTATATTTAAGTTTACAGTACACACTGTTTAATAGTGACATTTTCACAGGTCTTCTGGGATGCACCGTTCATATGGCATGCTTGTGCATTTGACAGTATCCTACACCTACTCAATTTAAGTAAACTCATTTCAGAAAAGGAATTAGGCCAGAGATAAACTATAAATACTGCCTAAGAATTGCAGCAACAGAATATTTTCTTTGTACGTGGAAGAACAGTTTGAAAGTAGAAGAGGAAATAGCAGAAAGCACCTAAAAACGTTATGCTTTAAAAGTGCAAGTATCAGGGACAATGCAAGGACTGTATCCTCTCAGCGTGAAGTGGCAGATAAGGCTGAACAAAAAGCAGGGGTAATTTACCCAGGCTTTGGGAATGCAGTTGCACAAAGAGCTGGCCCATGAGGTGAGCAAGGACAAAATTCTTGAGTGCACAAAGGAGCAGCTTGGGGCAAGCCCTGCAGCTGCTTCAAAAGGAATGTGCACTTTCTGTAGGTATTAAAATCTGCTGAAACAGGTGAAAGGGGGAAGTAAATAAAGGCTTGATTCATAGCAAACTACACAGACTAAGAACATAGGAAAGTAAATGACTTAGCACAGGGGAAGTTTGAGGCAACAGGTCATGCAAAAAGGGATGGAAAGGTCACAGCAATTATGTATAGCCTTTCAGATAAAAGAATCCACAACTGAGTCTCTGGATGTACTTTCAGCAATGCTGAGATGTTGCCTCCAGCTGCTGGATGAAAGCACATCCTGGATTTATAAGTATTCATTGTTAGGATGTAGGCTCTGCGTTTTGGAAAACACTGCTTTAGAGCCATGCTCCAGAGCAAATACCATACACCCTCTCCCTTCTCCCACGGGTCACCATCAACACATAAAAAACAGCTTTGAGGAAAAAAGGCCCATATTCATTCTTAAAGAATCTGAAGTGTATCAGATCAGGTTTTCCAGTGGATATTCAACTAGAGTTGCCTGGAAAGTATGATTCCAGCAGACAGGGGTATTAAAATTCCCAAGTGTGATTTCTTAGGAACAGGCTACACTTAGAACAGGTCAAGACAGACAAGAGTGAGCCTTTTCAGGCTTTCATCCCAGCATAGACTGTGCTTCTGCATTACCAGTTTCAGATTTGGGATATTTATTGATTTTTTTTGCTCTTATTCCACCTCTACTCATATTCGTATTTCTTCATGCAAATGAGTACTGACCATTTATCTCCAACCTGTCAATAAAGTGCCAAAACTGATAGGCTGCATTTGGGCTCATTTCCACTCAAGCTTGAGATGGTCTCACAGATAAGAAAGTACCCCTGGTATAGAACATCAGTTTCCCATGTGGCATGTGAAGCCTGAAGCAGTTCTGGCTGCCTCATTCTCCGGAGAACAAAGCAACAGGACAGAGGGCAGGGCAATACCAACACTAAGATCTGTGTTGTCTCAAGAGGCACATCTGCCTCCTCCTCTTTTGGTGAAGCAGTTGGAGGCTGTTGCTCTAGGAGCAGCACAGCATGGAGAAATATGCAGAACAAGTGCAATGACGGCTGTGTCAGCCTGGCACAAGATAAGGTACACGAAAGGAGGTGAATTCAAGCACTTAATACAACACCAAGCACTAAAATTAAGACACTTTATCTGCTCTGTTGGCTCCCTTTTTGTATACCTATACGCCATTTCTTTAAAAGAGATCTCAGTAACAATACCAAACAATCTAAAAAAAAGATTCAAAACACATACTTTTCTTCTGTTCTAAATACCCAAATCACCGAGTATTTTTCAATATACTACACATTATTTGTCAGAGGAAAATGGAAGAGAAGCTGCATAAATGAATTGCTTTGCAGTGTTTCATTAAAAGAAAGAACGTCTAGAAACAGCCAGATGATGCGGAGGTAAAGCCTCCTACAAAACAAGACAAATTAGCATCACCCACTGATTGTTTGTCCTGGTGGCACTAGAGGCAAACCGGGAAGGGCTTTAGGGCAACTTCGTACTCACAGATTGTAAGCATGAAAAAGAGTTATAAGCAGAAAGAGAAAATTAAAATATAGATAGTAAAGCAAATTCCTTCTCTCTCCTCTTATTTTACAAATTTCTTCTACTATGGTGCAAACCCAGAGCATTGATTTTAATACGATTTCACTGGATTTCCGTTTGTTTTTGCCTGGGCTCCTGCATTAATCCAAACAATAAGGGCCTTTAAAGCACTCATAAATAACCTGCTGCTGCTGCTGGCACCTAGGAGCCAAGTGTAGCAATGTTAAGCAACAACAAATTTCATAGTTCAAGAGGCACAGTTAAGGAAAAAGGTTGCTCAGAAAATCACTCTCATTTAGCACAAAGATCCTTAAAAATTGCATGAAATCAGTCAAGTAACTATAGAAACCAATTTCTTCAGCTCTGTATCACACATCTCACACCTCAATTGTCTTTATTATTGTCTGCTGTCAGATCCTTAATCAGAAATGTGAACAGGCTTGATGATTTATTCAGCAGGGAAAAGAATCTGTAGGTCAAGTGAAAAATTTCACACGCACATCCACACACACATCTTCAACCTTAGATACTTTCATTTCATTCTGTTCCCAGTAGCTCTGGGGGCAACTCCAGTGAGATCCAATATTAAGGCTCAATTAAAATAAGCTCCAATTAGTGGAGCTTTTTTCTCTCAGGCTAGAAAAGTCAGGAAATGGATATTGGGAAATGTAAAAAGTCAGCTACTGAGAGAAGGCTGCAGACATAAATGAACTTATTTGTTGATTTCTACAGTTGCTATGCAGAGGCCTCTGGGAGTAAAAGCTTAACCAGTCTAAGCTATAAACTAAAACCCCTGCAGCTAAACATGAACTGTGTGAAACAAGGGCTCCATTCCAGAACAGAAAACTGCTGGGCCCAGAAAATTAAAAGCCAGAGGCGTTTTCCATTTAAAACTAAATCCCAGTACCGCCTCCCAGCCAAAGAATTATAAGCAGTATCAGATTTACAAAACGAACAATTACCCTGGAAAAATGTAGCCTATTGTACAGTCCCAGATGCTAAATCTCAAAGTTTCCTTTTTTTTTTTTAATCCCACATTATATTCCTACCAAGTGTATGGCTGCAGTTTACAAAGGACCGTTTCTAGACAGAACTGAAACTACGAAATTAAAATGTTAAAAAAGAGAGCTCATAATTCATTGACCTCATTTGAAGCACTGCCCTTGCCTGTGGCAGTTCCTGTCCTTCCCCAAGGCCTCTGCAAATGGTATGCAGCAGCAAAATAAACCCTGACCTAATTGCCAGGACAGGGCTGGCAACCTTCTCTCAACACACAAAGGCAAGCATGGTAACTGGAAAGTCCTACCTCTTTCGCTTTCTGCTTTAACCGCAGTTGCTCAGGATCCTCTTTATTGGAACGGCTCTACCAAAGGAAAAGGAAAAAGATTGAATAGAAATTACTGGCATCCAAACACCATTGCATCCGTTAAATATTTAATAAATGACAATTTTCTCTAGTGATTGAAAGATTTAGCTCGAGGGCTGAATGCCTCAATCCAGACTGGCGTCCCTCCCCCTCGATGCGCAAACATGCGCACCCCCCCCCATCTGGGCTGGCTGCCTCTGCTCTAGCCTGAAGCAAGATTAAGCTGAAAATGATGCTAACACTGTCAGTCAGGTCCAGTCTAGGCATGATGTTGTTCATGTCAGCAGCAGACACTTAAAAAGGACAGGAAGTGTATGAAAGAAAGGGAGTCATACTCATGCAAGTAAAACATGAGTTTTAGATTAGGCTTCCACCCAAGAACTCCAGAAGTCAGCTTGAAACTAAACAAAAAAAACAAGAAGCAGAAGATGAGCAAATCACATCTTATGGAGCAACAACCACTGATAATTTTTTTTTTTGCTCTTGTACTTGAAGGGAGGGAACAGGGAGGAAGGATACTCATTCTGTCCTAGCAGTGGTTTTGTCAGGGGTTTGCACATGCAAAGGTACCAGCTCCAAGGCTAACCCTCTGATCTGACTACAGCAAATAAATACATCTGGCAGGGTGGCAGATCTCATCGGGCTTCAGCTTCAGCAAGCATAACAAACCCATATTTTCAAATAGTACCATACACAGGTACAGAGAAAGACATAGCATCTTCAGAGCCAGAAAAAGACACAGGATGGACATTTGTGGCTATGTGAATACTTTTTTTTTCTTTTTTACCAGTAGTAATAGTTTCAAGAAGAACGTTCATCCCACCACACACCTGAGTGAACTCCTGTGATTTTCTCACATACAAAAAAGCTAAATGCCTTTTCTGTATACCTTAAGCTATCCTAAACCTTACACTTTCCAGTTACAAGGTTACCACACTTAAAGCACAAATAGAAGAATCCTAAAGATGTTTAGCAGTCTAAAGGATAACACTACTTCCTCTGAAAGCAAGAAGTGAAGTTCTTACCTTGGCTGCTCGAAGCAACATTTCACGTTCCTCTTCATCCTTTCTCTGCTTTTCTAGGTGATCGAGCTTTTCAAGAAATCTCAGTTGTGCTCTGGTGTCACTAGATATGATGTAGTTATCACTCCCCTGAAAAACAGAAGTTTGTTACAGACAACCAGGCTTTTATACACACCACAAGAGCAAATAAACCCAATGGGAACAATCTGAAAAGAACAAAGCTATTTTTTCTAAACCGAAAAGTGTAGGCTGTGTTAGAAATAATTCAAGTGGTAAGTAGTCATTTACACATCTCCTCTCCATGGAAGCACATTTCTTAGCATCTGTGACTAGTAAAAGGTTATTGTAAAAGTGAAATGAGCAATAACTAGTTCTATTGTTTATTGATTGTAACAACAAAAAAGTTTTCAAGTTTAAAGGCTAAAATTTTGGTTTAAACATCAATTTCACATCCAGTAAACAAGATGCACAAGATTGTATTCTGAACAGGTTAAGAATAAAAAAAAGACTAATTGTAAAGAGAAAGGGTAAAGAAAAATAAAACTTACAATTTCAAGTTTCTAGTGTTTGGTGTTGTACTTAAAACTCAGAATTTGAAACCTCACCTGGTATTTCCAAAAAGAGGGTTTATGGAGCAGAGGGATGACTTAGAAACAGCTGTAATGAATCTTGGGAGGAGCAGAATGTGAGATGATTAATTATATATGGTTCATTATAGCTTTAAGAATACATTCTTCTGCCTCAGTGGATGCTCTCAAGTCATATAATAATTTCTGTTGAAAGGTGAGCTGTGGAAGTCATCTGGTCCAGCCCCCATGCAAAGCTGGGCCAGTCAATACTAACGACAAATTCCAACAGCACCTGAACAGATATGCATTGAAACAAGACTGGTTCTTTTAGGCTAAAAAATGCAACCATAAGTTTATTTTTCATACTATTTTTTTCCTCACTGGAAAGTCTGAGTGAGTCTAGATAAGAATTATAGAATGGTTTGAGTTGGAAGGCACCTTAATGATCATCTAGTGCCAGACCCCCTGCCATGGGCAGGGATACCTCCCACTAGACCTGGTTGCTCAAAGCCCCGTTGAACCTGGCCTTGAATACTTCTAGGGGGAGGGCAGCCACAGCTTCCCTGGGAAAAAGACAACAGAAATGAAAATATCTAAAATGTGGTCAACTAGCAGTGAAAAGACTGTTTTTACTGTTCTACTCTTCCAAACATGGCTACTTTAGCCATGCACTGGCCAAAGGGCATTTGACAAAACAAGGCAGGAAGCCCACTCTACATGAGGTGTATTTCTGCCACCTGTTTGTACCACTCTATAATGCACATCCTAGAGTTATTTTCTGTCTCTGTTACTCTGTGAACTTGTCTTTTCTTGAAAAATTTATCCTTCAGCTTTTACCAGCCACACTATGTATTTTCTGCAACCCTTACTTTTACCTTACTCCAATCTCACACTTCAACAAAGCAACTTTGACACATAACTGTTCTGGGATGAGTGCAACTTATGTTATAAACATAGCATATTTTACATATATCTTTTGGACAAGGGTATATTTTAAGTATATGGATTATCAGGGACTTCAGTAGCTAAGTTGTTTGTGTTTTTCAAACATGATCTACTCATTCTTCTTCCCTCACCCCACCATATAGCTGGAAAGAAAGTAAACGTCTTCTGTGAGAGAATTGCTGTCTCCAAATCTGAATTCTCACAATGCAGCCAGAGCATGGAATCAATCCTTCTTCTAGAATTAAGTTTGGTCTTTTGCAGTGACCCACTGTATTCTCATGTATAACCAACTGTGGCTCGGACCAGGCCCTGTGTTGCAGCCAAGCAGACTGTCTTTTCCCAAGCAGAGTCTGTGGCTCTGCAACAAACTTCCCCCCCACCCCTTTTTTGACTGCTCAAGATTCTTTTATTTTTGCCAGGACCCACAAAACATACACTGCTTTAAGTCAGTCTCAGTACATTAGCAGAATTTGTTTTGAAGCAGCATTTTATAATAATCCACTACCATGCCACAATCCTTTTGAAGGGGCAAAGAAAGCAGCCATATTACCCAGATATTATTTTTCCTAAGTTTAGAAGTGTTTAGCTTCAGAATACCCAGAGTTAGATATCTGCATTTTTAGAGCCAAATCCAAGACCCTGTGACAATTAGGAATGCAAGCCTCTCAGCCAGAAGCACCCCAATGCACTACCATAAGCCTATATGGGAAAAGAAATTGGTGCATTCGTAACAGCATTTCAGCTCATCAATTGTTTTAAGATACCTTATTTCAGGTCTTTTTAGAAGAGGAACACTTGGAGTAATATTTTGTCCTACTCAGTAAGTTGTTTTCTTGTGAGCATTTAGTACTGAATTGCTTACACAGAAATCATTATATTACATACCTGCTTCTAATTTGAATAGATAACTGTTATGATTGATACAGTTGGATTCATCTTTTGTTTTTCTCCATGTAACAGTTCAACTTCCTCATGTAAGGCCAAACTGTCCCCAGCTACAACAATCCTAACAAAACTCAAGGTACAAGTGTAATAGAGAGCAGAATTTAACTTGGTGATAAATAAAGCACATAACCACAATACAAGGTGGTTAGATTTGTATGTGACAAAGCAAAACTTACATCTGACAGTTAAAAAGGTGTTTTTACATTAACTGAGCTAAATTTAACTGAGTTCACTCGATATCCTGAAAGAAGCTTTCACACAACAATAGCACATTAGTTCACCTATACAAGTTTGTTATTAAATTCATTCCACTCAAGATTTCTCCACAGACACACTGTAAAGCACAGTCCATTCCTACAAAAACTTTTACGTTAGGTTTCTGCATATTTGAAACATGCAGCATGGAAGCAAAGCATTCCCAGGCATGTCTTTAGTGAGGAGAGAGCTGGCAACAAATTCAGGAACAGCTATATGCCTTGTCTGTGATCTGCAGCTTCGTTCCTAGATTGTCATATACCTATAAATTAATCTGAAACCTAAGGCACTTGTGGTTTAGCACCAGGAATATCCTGCACATCTGAAGGTGCAAAGGAAAAACCCACATACAGTGAGCCGTGCTCCACTTCAGTCCACCAGGAAAGATGTTGGAAGAATCCCACAAAGACCTGTTCTCCCATGAAATCTGAACAGTTTCAGTCATGCTGAACAACAGCCTTGCTGAGGACAGAGCAGCAATGCAGGCAGCTGCAGAGGCTCAGCTATTATGTGGGAATCTGTTAAGCTTTGGCTTTTATATGGGCAGCCCCTAAACTAAATTAATAACAGAAAAGCTTCTGATAAGTTACTTCGGCACTCTGCAGCCTGATGGCAGCACAGGCTTGGCAGGAGCAGGCTGGCTGTTCTCACATCTAGAAGCACTC